GCTGTGATGGAAAATGACAGGGCTAGGAAGCCCTGATGGAGGGAGCCTGGTGTGTCAGAGTTGAGTGGGGTCAATCACAGCCAGGAAAGCTGGCTACTATCAGTGGGGTTCCATGGGTGTAAGTGAGGACAGCATTTTGTTTGTGGGACATAGAGGTTTCACTGCAGAGTGTCACGTCTCAGATGAAGATTTGGGACAGGATTCTTTGCCAGTAACCTCCACCTTATGCTGATGTTATCTGGTTTCTGTAGAATGAACTTGCTGAGTTGTCATCTGTGGTGCTGTCAGGGGAAGTCCTAAGTTCTGACGCTGCACTTCCTGCCTGTACTCGTGCCATAAATACAATTCCAGCAAAATCAGTGCACAAGAGCTAGATTGTTGGAAATCTGCTTATTCTGAAAGGTCTGGGAGCACCATAAGGAAATCTGGCAAGTGTTCTTCTGCTCATGGCACAGATTTGAAATCCAATGGAACACGTATACAGGGCATATATATGATTACTCTCGAAGCTGGAACTGACAACAGATTAATGCCCCGTCATGGCACCCTGACTTGACATTGTCTTAGAGGTTACCAAATAAAGGTTCTTGCCAGCTTCAGTGTGTGGGTTTCTGGTAAGTGCTGTCATTCTGTGTGGGCTGCAGGGTTCTAACAACAACAGGCAATTGCAGTAGAACCTGTGGGCGCACACAGCTGTCAGCAATCCTGTTGTGGAGACTTTTGCTGAGAACAAGGCATCCTCTTTCTTATGGGCAGAACCTCTTTGTAAACAAAGCGACCTGATTCATTAGTTGCCTCTCGTCTGCAGACAACACAAACTTATTTAAGTTAGTCAAGACCAGAAAGGACTGAAGAATTTCAGAGCGACTGAATAAAGCTAAGTGAACAGACAGCATGGTAGGAGATGAAATTCAAATACAACACAATGCATAGTGGAAAGGAATAATTTGATCCTTTTAGAAACATCAGTGCATTTTTTTCTAACTGTGAGCACTCAGGGAAAAGATGGAGGAGCTATTGGATCCAGCTTCATGTTCACTGGTGGTATAAAAAAGTCAAGCAAAGGGTTAGGATGGAAAAAATACAGAACATATGGTAATGTTATTATGTAACTTAGTGGGAGACCCTTACCTGGAGCATTGTGATCAATTCCAGTTATTCTGTATCCTTGAAGGGAGAGAGTAGAAATAGAAAGGGTTCAGAAATAATGCTGACCATGATTAGAGGCCTAGGAAGACTTTCCTATGAAGAGAATAGAAAGATTGGGACTCCTTAGTTTAGAAAGGAGACTAGTACAATGGGATGTGAAAGAGATATGCAGCAAAAATGGATGGATTTGACCAGGCAAACTACATCTTTCTCTTCCTGTCTTCTCTTACTGGAAGAACAAAGGAATGATCAATGACATGAAAAGGCAGCTAATGGGATGAAGAAAAAGAAACGTTTTATTACAGTGGACAAACTACCTGGTGGAACTCCTGGTCACAAGATGTCCTGTAGGCCTAGGGTTTAATGGGGTAGGTAAAAAGACTAGACATGTATACGGGTAATAGGAATACCTATATTTGCATAATTGGTATAGAAAGATTTTTTTTTAATGGATGGCTTTTGTAAGCCATCCACAGTCTAACTCAGAACTGCCCACACCATCTATAAAGAGTCAGTGGGCAGAAGTTATCTGACCATGAAAGCAACACAGCTGTCACTGTTTTGGGCCATAGAATTCTGGGCCAGAGGAAGCTGTGGGTTTGATGGGATGGAAGCAGCTTCCTGTGGTCCCATTGATGCCTGGGTACAGGGCATTCTGTTACAGTTAGGTTGAGGACACCATAGTACCTCCCCACAGGACATCAAGGGGTGAGAGTAAAAGGGGGCAGTGTAACAGGTAGCCTATGGCTCCTGTTACTTAGAGAAGAAAATAGGGGCAAACAGAGCCCAGATTACAGCTAGCCCCCCCTTGTAGTCAAATAGAGAGACTTCCAGAGCCCAGGAATGGGAGGTGCCTATTGCTGTTCTAGTAGCACAGCAATAGGTAGTAGCTAGTAGTACAGTAATTACAATAGTGGAGTAACCTATGTGAGCAGCAAGAAACATACTGCAGCCTAGCAGATTTCTGGCAGTAGTACAAGACCAAGCCTTGTGTGGGAGACAAGGCAAGGCTAGGTCTGCTGCTATAGGCTACTTTGAAGGTGAGTAAGTCAAACCAGTTAGGGTCAAACCTGCAGGCTGCCCAGAAAGTCATCAGACCGGAAGGGGGCAGGGCTCTGCTGGCATATAAACCAGGGCCAGAACCCAAACAGTCATTCTGGCCCTGGAGGCTGAAGGGGAAGGAGCTCTGCAGTAAGATGCTTGCTGATGAGAGCTTGATAGAAATCAAGCTACTATCCCTGAGATATGTCAGTAAGGAGTTGAGGGCTGGCATGAGGATGAGACTGTAGGGTGGGGATTTCAGGTTGCCAGCATGCTTAGAGGATTAAGTTGTAGCCAGTGAGCTGGTGTGTTGGTTTGTGTAGGATTGGAGGAGGGCAACAGGTGGCCCCAGTAGTGCCAGCAAAGCACATGAGGTTTGAGCCTGCCAGGAGGGCAGAGTAAGCAGTAGTACAGTGGCTGAGAAAAGCTGAGCCAGGGCCAGAGCCCAGGTGAGGAAGAAGAGGGGCTAGTGAGAGCCAACAGCCCAAAGAGGGGCAAAGATGATGATAGAGAAAGTACAGCCCAGGAGAGGAGGAGACTGACAAAAGACTGAAAAGGTGGAGAAGAATGGAGGAAAGACTGTGACTGAGGCCCACTGGATTGTTTGATTGGTACACCTATGAGGCATGGGCATGGCTACAGGGGAGGCTGGAGGCTGTGATTAGCCCATAAGGCAATGGGTGCTCTTGGGAGCACATGTGGGCCAGGAAGGCCCACACAGTAGGAAGAACTGATTGGGAACAGTGGGGTCCAGGAGAGATCTATGTGTAAAGAGGACAGGTTGCAGCTGGATCTAAAACCCTTCCAAGTTCTTTATTAACAAGATCAAGGTGTGGCAGATGAAAGCAAAGGGAAGATACCTTAAAGCAGGGGTAGGCAATGTTTTTTGGCCGGAGTGCCTAAAAAACCACAATGGCTACCTTGGAAGGTACTGGAGTGCTGGCATGCCCCTCCTCCCCACAAAAATGAGGGTTGGGCATGGCAGGACGCACTGCATATTAGTATATTTAATAATCATAAATGTTGCTTTTGTTGTTGTGTATTCCTTTTTTGTAAGCATGTTGCAATGAATGAGGAAAAGAGAGAGAAAGAGAGAAAAAGGATGAGAGAGAAAACCAGACACGCACATGCACACAGAACCACATGTGCACAAATACAGAGAACCAGAACAGACACATGCACACACATATCCAGAACCAGGCACATGTGTACACACACAGACACACAGAACCAGACAGACAGACAAACACACAGAATGAGATGCATGGGTGTACAGAGCTGGGCTGCTCGGCCACTGGACAGAGTCCAGCCCAACAATACCCTGGGCCCACTGGAGCCTCTGTGCTTCCACGGGGAGTCAGCCCCTGGGCTGGAGCGTGGCTGGCCGAGGCCCCGGCCCGGAGCCTGGCCATCAGCCCATCCACTCACGCACCCCACACAGCTAAGCCCACAAAGGTGCAGTGCTCCTGGCATGGGGCAGCACCAGCCTCATCCTGGTGGGGGGGATGGGCCAGGGCTGGGTACGGAGTGGGTGGGAGGCAGGTAGGCTCAGCTACAAGCCCTTCTGCAAGCAGCCCAGGCTCCATGGTTGTCAGCAGCTACCCACAGCCTGGGCCAGCTTCAGCCAGGAGGCTGCAAACAGCTGCTCTGGGCTCCGGCATCAGCTCCATATTGGTGGGTGCATGCATGCCTCTTAGCGGATGGTGGGAAAGGGGTCTGAGGCAGCGCAACCCCAGCCTCTCCCCCACTGCCAGGACAGAGATGGTGACTGGGCTCTGGAGCCCAGTGCAGCTGTTTGTAGCCAGCCCAGGCTCTGGGTATCTGCAGCAGGCACCGGGCAGGGTGTAAACAGCTGCGTTGGGCTCCACAGCCCCGGCATCAGCTCCATGCTGGCAGGGGACTGCATAAGCACCTCAGAGCAGACAGTGGGAGGGTTGTGCTGCCTTGGGCCCTATCCCCACTGTCCCTCTGAGGTGCTCATGCAGTCGCCACCAGCATGGACCTGATGCCAGGGCTGAGAAGCCAAATCCCTGTGGAGCCCAGTGCAGCTGTTTGCAGCCTGCCTGCTGCAGCTGCCCAGAGCCCAGGCTAGCTACAAACAACTGTGCCAGGGCTTTAAAGCCCAGTCACCAGCTCTGTGCTGGAAGCTGTGGAGGAGCCAGGGTTGTGCTGCCTCGGGCCCCTCCCCCACCGTCCACTCCGAGGTGCGCATGCACCCGCCATTTTGGAGCTGATGCCGGAGCCCAGAGTAGCTCTTTGCAGCCTCCTGGCTGCAGCCAGCCCAGGTTCTGGGTAGCTGCTGCCAACCATAGAGCCCGGGCTGGTTGCAGCAGGGCTTGCAGTCTTCCAGCCACCTGCTGGGAGTAGCCCGGGCTCCATGGCTGGCAGCAGCTGCTTAGAGCCTGGGCTGTGCCGGGCAAAATGGCTTCGTGTGCCATGCTCCGCATGCATGCCAGGGGTTGCTGACCCCTGCCTTAGAGATTGAGCAGTGCAAGAGCTGAGTTACCACCAGGGGGCAGGATGGCCACTGCTGAGGGACTGGTCGTTACAGGCAGCAAGACCAGGAGCTGAAGGAGACATCGTGGGCATCTTAAATGGTCCCTGCCATCCCAGCTGATCTTCAGAAGCAACTGAGACTCTTATCTGTCATTGCTGAGCCTCCTGCTGTGGGCAGCAGATAAGTAAGAGCTGCTTGTTATTCCAGTTTGGCAGGTAGGTGCAGGGCCTGGGAGCTAGCTCAAGTGGCAAAAGTAAAGGTTTCAGCCCTGCTGGTGACCTGTAGGCCATTGTGATGCACGATGGAATTCTGGTTTTTCTGATTGCTTTTATTATTGTTATGGTTATTGTTGTTGTTATTGTTGTTACTGATGATAATAAAACCTAGAAAACTGGATGTAAGACATTGTTCAACTGATTTGGGTTGTAGCTGAAAAACTCCATAGCTGAGAATTGGCAGAACTAAGCTTGTTTGTGAAACCTGAAATCCATTCTCCTGGGTGTATGCATAACAATATAGCCTTTCCTTGTATGATCACTGCCCATCTTGGCTACAAGACCTCAGACTCTTCAGTGCACATGATGGACTTTCTGTGGGGGGTAGATGTTGTCTGTAGGGGTCTTGCTTCATTGGCTGCAGAAGTCAGGTGTCCATTGAATGAGGCAGGGGATTGTGGGAAGAGAACAGAAGATCTCAAAAGAAAGGTAATTGATGTCTCTCAGATAACTGGCTTCTAGTCCAGCTTCTGTTCCTGTTTAAAGGGGAACAGGAAAAGTTACTTATAAAAAAGTCCACTAATTGGCATTCCTCATTATCTGGGTACCCAGTTTGGTTCCCTGGAGTCTGGCATACAGTAGCACTCAGCATTCACAGCTGCAACTCTGCTTAGCAGAAACCATGTGTGGAATATATAGAGCTGTAAGAATGCAAACATTTTTAAAATTAGGGCCTCCTTTTTGTTTAAAATCGGTCACCCCTAAATTAGTGGATGCCTTTCATCTTGATCTCTCTCTGTCCTCATTTCTTACCTGTGAAATAGTGACAATACTGCCACTCCGTCACCACACAGGGGCATTGCCAAGGCAAGTTCATTAATGTTTGTGAGGCAATTGGAGACCATAGTGCAGATTGACTGAGGAAAACCTGTGAGGAAATTAATAATTTTGTCTTTAGAGCAGAGTTTGAACAGTGTGCAGTAAAGAAGGTCTAAAGTCACATACTGAGTTATGGGGAGAAAACAAAATGCTGAATACTTGCTTATTATGAGAGCGCTGTCCATCCTGTGCATTGGGTAAGGCTAGAAGCCTGGATAGAAAACACTATAAGAACATGTAATTAATTAATCTGTCATGATACACATGCACAAGAGGGCCAAATTAAGGTTGGACAAGTGATTAATTTGGTCACTTTCTAACCTCTGAGGGTTTGGCTTTGCAGCTTGGCTTTATAGCATTTGCAGTCTAATCTCTTCTTTAAAACTTTCTCCTTCGCTAAACTGTTCTGGTGCCCAGGGATTTTTAAAGTTTGTAAGTTTTTTCCTAATATCTCACCCAGTAGTTTGCAGCATGAGGGTTAATCAAGTACTTCTTGCCCCACCTTCAGTGGACTTGGAGAACCATTGATCTCACATGTGATGTTCCTGTAACTACACCCCTGAATGATCATGTCTTCCTTGCCACAGCACTGGTACCTGGCTGCTGTTCAGTTCCCAGTGCATTTCAGCTGCCTGCCTTTTCTGTAGAAAAGCCAGCTATTCCCCATTTTGTATCTGGCTTCTGTGTGGCACTTTGCACTTGCCTTTGCTGAATGTTATCTTGTGCATGTCAGATTGCTTCTCAAGATCATTTTAAGTTCCAGTCCTGCTTTCAAAATGTTTTCAGCAGCCTCCAGCTTGCTTTGCCCTCAGATTTTAAGAGTATTCTGCAGTGAAGGGTTCCTTATTCTCCCGAAGGGAGAAGGAACCAAGAGAATGCTGCATAGCACCACTCCTCTCCTTCTATCTTGGGCTCCTCTGAGAAGTGTCCCTGCCCTTCAGAGCTAGTCACCTACAATAATGGCAGAAATCTGACATTTGGCTTTAGCTCAGGGGCAGGCAATTATTTCAGGCAGAGGGCCACTTACTGAGTTTTGGCAAGGCATCAAGGGCCGCACGATAGGCAGCCAGGGGCAAATCAATATTCATTTTCTAAATGTTTTAGGGGCCCTGCAGGCCAGATAGATTGGCCTGGTGGGGCACATCCAGCCCGCGGGCCGCATTTTGCCCACCCCTGCTTTAGCTCATTCAGCACTAGAGATAATGGCTTTGCTGCTGCTGTTAAGGTCAGGACACTTACAAGGTCCCAGAGAACAATTCAGAGTCCCTGCTGATCCCTGAACTTCACTCAGTCAAGCACGAGCAGCTGGGAAGGAGGTGCTACCAGGTGGCTGCTGCTGTCTTTGCTCTTCTGAGCGCACAGAAAATGACTGGGCTGCTGAGAAGCCAAATCCCTTGCAATTGTGTCATGGCTGGCAGAATTTCACCAACATCCATTATCTTAGCTACTTGCCTATTAGCATCCTCTTTAAGCACTGATGGGTTTGGATTAGCTGGGCTATTCCCTTGTCCTTCAACTCAGGCACCTACTATGGTCAGGCAAACTAAGATGCCCACCATCTTTATTGCCTTTATTAACCTACAGTCATTGCTCGTCTGTAGAGAGGGTGTATCCCAGGTCCCACGTGGCACAAGACATCCTGTCCACACGGCCTAGGTAACATCTCCAGGCCCCCAGACAATCCATCCATTTTGTGTCCTTGTCTTCTAGCTGGGGGTCATGGCAATGCAGGCATCCTGTTATAGGGGAAGGACTGCAGAACTATAGCAAGCACAGAGCCAGGGAAGGCTTGGCAGCCATATGAAATGGAGTTGCAATAAAGCATTGCCCTTTTTTCTTTCCAATGGCAGATACCATTGTGCTGTTTGTCCTGGAACAAGCCTGTTAATTTCAGATTCATCCATAATTTAATTTGTTCCCCCAAAGTGCTTGTGATTCCCTCCCAACTTGGCAGTGCTGCCTAGCAGGTGTTCTCCAAAGCTGCAAATGCAAATAATGATAGCAGCTGGATGCAGAGCAGCTTCCTGCAGGGAGGTATTGTACTTGATCCCTCTCCCTGTAGACTTATGAATAACTATTCTCCACTGACAGTTTTTAGCTTGTTTTATATTGGTTATGCTATCCAGGGCCTTACCCCTCCAACTTCCATGTGAAAACATTGCACTGACACAGATGCCTTCCTAAAGAAAGAAATCATGTTTGCCTTATAATGTGATTCAAGATATTTTTACTGAAGAAAGGTGTGTTCTCACTCCTGCTATGAGCAGAAGGGGTTGCAGAGTTCTCAGTGCAGCCAAGGCTCTTAGAGCCCCTTTCTCAGTATTGACAGAGTTTGGATCATTTCATAGATTTCATAGACATTAGGGCTGGAAGGGACCTCGGAAGATCATCGAGTCCAGCCCTCCACCCAAAGGGAAGGAAGTCAGCTGGGGTTATAGGATCCCAGCAAGATAAGCATCCAATTTACTCTTGAAGGTGTTCAATGTAGGTGCTTGAACCATCTCTGATGGCAGGCTATTCCAGTCCTTGGGGGATCGGACAGTAAAGAAATTCTTCCTTATGTCCAGCCT